AGGGAGACGGGATAGCCCCCTTCTTCCCCTCGACGTGTTTTGGGGTGACCTTGCAGCGAGCGGGCGAGGGGGATGGAGCGCTCCCGGGGACGGCCTTGCACCCGGGACAGGGCCCCAGCAAAAGGCACTGGGCCATCAACGCGGAGACGCGGCCTCAGGCAGCAGGACGGGGCCCCAGGCAAGGGGATAGGCCCCGGACAGCGGGACGGGGCTATACACTGGGGGATAGGTGTATTCCTATTTACCCTCCCCACCTGCCTTGCCTCTAGGGAAGCAGAAGATCCACTACCTGTTTGAGGATGGGAAGGAGATGGCTGAAGAGTATGATATGAAGACCGGTCAGTTAGTGAGTAAGTGGTGCTCTCAACTGGACCCCAGCAGATGTGGGTCAGGGCAGAATTGTGGTGCATGTGGCAGTGGGTCTGTGCTCTCGGGACTGGGGTGTTGAGAGGAACCTCCTGGTCAGGAACAAATTGCCCCTAAATATTCTGGGAAATAAGCATCCCTGTAGCTGAGTTTTGTGGGAACATAAGTACAGTTCCATTTGGTCCCAGGGCGCTCTGACTTCTGTGGTGTAGCAGACTTTGCTTTAGTCCAAGATCTCTCCCAAATAGCTCATCTGTAACAACAGACTTGGATGGACTAAGTGGGACTGCCGTCTTGTGTAGCTAGGCACCAAGTCTGTAGCACACGCTGAGGTGAAGTATGCTTTTTGGTGGCTTCTGCAACCGCAAACAGGCAAGGTGTTGGTTATGGCTCTTGTCCAAAACCACATCAGCTGTAGCACGGCACCTGTTGCAATCCCACTAAGTAACAAAAAAAGAGACTTGATACAGAACTTCAGACTTCAGGGGTAGACCAGCTAACAGATCCACTGACACCAAAGTGGAAATGACTGGAATTAAGATATGTACCTTCGTATCATCTCTGTGTGCTGGGCAGCTTTGACTGGAGTTCTTACAGAGCAGAAAAATGAAAACCCTTCTTCTCCTTCCACAGGTAGAAAATGGCGAGAGAAGAACACCTTTGGGGGCTCTGGCAAGTGGCAAGTTGAAGTGGGAGAGCCAACCTCACCACTCCTGGGACCACTGGAGTCAGAGCTCATAAAGGAAAGCAGCTCCAATGTATGTAAGGGTCTGCAGGCACCTCTGCACCTCTAACTACCTAATCTTGTGCTTACAGCAGTAGTCGTAGACCACAGATCACTCGCACCCCCAAGAGACAGCCTTAACCTGTCTAGCACTCTGCTAGGCACAGCTTAGGTTCTTTTGGGGTCTTCAAGAGATTTGTAGTTCCATTTCAGAAACTGTACTGCTGTGTTGGCCAAACGATATTCTGGCTTCTGAAAAAGTAGGCTGAACCGAAGGGCAGTGCTGGGACAAGTCAGTGGATGGAAAGCAGAGGCAATGACAACGAAAGGCTGACACAGGCAGTGCATAGCAGGTCTCTCCTTAACATAGCATGGCCTGTTTCATCTTCACGTCCCTCTAGCTTAGAGGCCAGAGGTTTTAGTCTCTCACCATCTTTTCTACAGACCTGAAACACAAGCACAGCCCCACACAACAAACTGGGGCAGAGCCAGGACTGAATCCAGCAGGTCCCTAGGGTAGGCAGAGCTCAGTATTCAGTTGCTTGTGAGGAAGAGGCCCGGTTTTCCTGTAACCCTGTCCTGCAAGACTCCCTTGGTGAGTGCTTTTAGCCTCCTACAAGCAGGGTAGGCAGTGCTCTGGTAAAGGCAGAGCAGTGTTAACTCTAGGAAAGTGATGCTCAGGCAGTTTCTTCAGTTACTCCCTAACGCTCCAGTGTGAAAAAGCTAGTCCTACGTGGAGCCTTTTGAGGTAGCACAGGAAGAAGGGGATGGGGAGGAGAGGAGGCAGCTGGAGGGGCCTTGCTAAGGGTACTTGTTTGCTGTAGCCTGTCTTCATGAGGAAGGACACCCTGACCAGCTTCCAGTGGCGGATCCGTAACCTGCCCTACCCCAAGGAGGTCTACAGTGTCTCCGTGGAGAAGGAGCAGCGCTGCTGTGTCGTCCGGACCACCAACAAGAAGTCAGTAAGGACAGCACTGCTGGTGCTGCCAGTCTCTCGGGGTGGGCTGGCACTGAGAGCAGGCTGGTCATTGCACCAGGTGGTTGTCTTCTTTTGCATTCTAGCCCAAACCTGTAAAGGCTGAGGGGTCACACCCTGCACCCTCCTGCTGTCCAGTTTCCACTCCCAACTGCCTCAGACAAATTTATGGTAGAGTCCCTCATGATGCCAATGACATGATCTGGATGTAGCCAAGCAAAAAAGCAGACTGATTCTAGAAAGGAAGCAGCGCGATATTCTGCCAAGAGAAATTTGAGATGGGAAGAAAAGAAAGAAAAGACTTTAAGTACCATCTTATACTGTGTTAGTACATGGCATCTCTCATAGCATGAGAGTCACGCTGTGCCCCAAAGCATTTACAGCCTCAGTGAGATAAGCCAGGATGAGCAGTAGCGTTGGGAAGAGATAGCAAGGAGCAAGTATTAGGAGAACAAGGGAGGATATTGGAAGGTAAATGAAAGCTGTTTGCAGATTGGGATAATACACCAGTGTGGAAAGCTGGGCAGGCTGCTCTCTGCTTGCCTTTCCTTCCCAGCATTGCTGCAGAGCAGAGAAGGATCAGATGCATTGGTAAAAACAACCCCACTGTTTCCCAATGTGCCCACTCCCCTCTTTAAGCCACTCTTTGTAGCTGGCTGTAGGTGGTGCTGTTGGCAAAGAACTCCTCTGCTTTGGCTGCCGAACTTTCAGATCACAGAACCCGCAAGTCTTCAGGCAAGGGTTTACCACACCAGAGGCCGTGGCAAGGGGATGTTTGAGCTCTGCACATGAGCACACCTGGACGTTCAAAAGCAGGAGGCAGCTAGGCAGGAAGAAGGGGGAGTCTGCACCATGAAAGCAGCAAGCAATTGTAGCTCTAATACAAAAATATGCTGGCCTGAATGCACACAGAGATTCACAGAAGAGTGGCCATTTAGTAACGAGACCTATGTAGCAAAGATGAATGAGATTCTTGTCAGCAGGATGTGTGCAGCCATGGAGCTGGGAGAGGAAGGGAGTATGTGAGTCTAAATCTAACAGCTACAATGACAGACAGACTTACCTACTCCCAGTCCGAACAATAGTGTGTATGTGGGAGCTTCTTTGCCTGCTTAGGTGCTGTAAGGTTATAACATACCACTGAGGCTTCACCCATGTCCTACCAGACTTCAGGTTTTGTTGTACTGCTCTCAGGAAAACAGTAGAGTTCCCCCTGCACAAACA